AGAAGAAGAAGAAGAAGAAGAAGTCTGAAGAAGAAGAAGAAGAAGAAGAAGAAGAAGAAGAAGAAGAAGAAGAAGAAGTCTGAAGAAGAAGAAGAAGAAGAAGTCTGAAGAAGGAGAAGAAGAAGAAGAAGAAGAAGAAGAAGAAGAAGAAGAAGAAGAAGAAGACCTGAGAGGGGCAGAGCATCGATGGGGATGGCGAGGAGCCCTAGGCCCCACCTGATGATGAAAGGTGGCTCCTTGGCTGCTGTTGGAGATGGCTGTGCCGCTGGGAGTTATGGCGCTCCCGGTGGCTGTCAGGTAAGTCTCCTTCCTCGCTCTCTCTCTCTCTCCACAGCCAGCGCTACACCTAGCGCTGGGCTGGAACAGAAATAGCGCAACGTTCTGCTCCTCAGTGCTGCCGCACTCTCCTCCCCGGAAATGGCTGTTGGCTGGGCCTAAATACCGGCCGGCGGCCAGTTCGGCCTCTGCCTCCCAAGGTGGCCTCCGATCTGAACCATCGGATCTATCGTCCGATCTGTCGTTCAGGTCGGACCGGTTTTCGGGAAAACAGGCTGCCTAAACTGTGGCCTGGTCCAAACGAAGACGTTTGGCCATTTCCTGCCCCGGGCCTGCGGCTGCAGGGCCTGGTCTAGAACCGGTTGCGCAAGGCCAAGGGGGCGGCCTAAAAAGGTCCGGCCTTTGGGCCAGCCTGGCCTGGATTATCGCGTCCAGGCCCTCAGAACCCCTCAGCCTAGTCGTCGGGCCTGAAAGGGCCCGTGTGGAATGCAGTATGTAACAGAGCTCCTCCGTTTTTTTTTCCTTCCCTTTTTTAAGGCTGGTTCTTTTAAGCCCAACCAATTTAAGTACCTGTCAAAAAAATCTGAACAGGACGGCCTTTCAGGCCCTTTTTTATTTATCATTATAGAATTTATAGTATCATAGGGAACCCCATAGCAACCAGCCAGAGTTCAAGCCTCCAACGAAGGAACATGCGGGGGCTGCACCTGACCTGCTATACCGGCCAGGGTTCAGCAGCCGGTAGCATCAGGACCGAGCTTCGTCGATGGGCCAGTAGCTGTGCCTCCCCTCTGGTCTCCCCTCCCCCCCCCCTCCCCCTCCTTACGAACATCAGCAGTCACTGCTCAATGCCGTTCGTGGTCCGGAGGGGAGGCACAGCTACTGGCCCATTGAAGAAGGGAGAGCCCGTTGGCGCTCAGTGCCAACGGGCTATCTCTAGGTGGCGGGAGCCAAGTTTGCTCAGGACGGAGCTTCCTCCATTGACCTTAGGGACCACTGTAAGAATTGGAATAATACCGAAAAAAAAAAAAGCATGGGCAGTGTGCATTAAAAAAATATTAAAAAGGGAAAAAAAGGGAGAGGTCCTCCATTTCGTCCTTACGAGGAACCTTGCATAGAGTTACATCACAAGTCATAAATATTTAATATTATTAATTTATTATTCATTTACTAGATTTAAAAATCTTATTGCATATGATTTCTTATGAACTTGATCTGTTTATAGTACTTTATAATAAGTTTATATTTGACTATATGAAGTTTGCGTGTCACTTCATGATTAGTCCTATGGCGATCCATTCACTGTACTCGCATTCGGTCCCATGTACTCCCATTTGGTCCTCCAGAACTTAAATATTATTTATTCTTCCGTACAACACATAACATAGAGCATTGCCTTAAGGGCCTTCAAGGCCCATAACCATATTTCACAATTTTAAGCAATTCTTAATCTGTAGTTGAAACTGCAGCATGGGGTCAAAAGACCTACTACTGGAACTTATTTATTTATTATTACCTTTTTTAAAGTTTTTTTTTTCATAGAGGCTAGGAGAAGATTTGCTGTGAGCGGGGACTCTTACCCTGTGTAAGCAAGAACTGCCACAATCGCATTCGTTCCTGTCGAGAAATCGTCCATACAGTAATCCTCGAAGGTCGCCGTACGAGCAATGGGCGTTTGAGGTGTCTGGAACACAGAAGAGAAAAATTGTCCCATAGCAAAACAAATTGTCATTACAATTTTCAATTTTGAATTTTGTCAATGTCTCGCATTGAAAGTCTGAAACAGAACACTTACTCCCACTTCCTCCTCCTCCTCCTCCGACGATGGAATACCTGCCCTGTCCTCCTCCTCCGCCACTGCCGCCTCCTGCAAACAACCCTTAGACTTATGGCGACAACTCTGTACTTGATCACAGGGAACTACATCCGGGCTGTCGCATACAGTAAAGGTGCAGACCAGAAAAAGAACCGACCTCTCTCCCGTAGTACAAGATAGCGCAGCGGAAGGCTAATGTACCAATGATCCGAACAATCAATGTTGCAATGCAGACCAAACATACATCATCATCATTCCATGGTGTGAAGGGGCCTGGCGCTCACACAGGAAGAATGCGCCAGTCCCCAACCATACACAGACGAAGAAGAGGGGGGTTCGACGAAGAAAAGGGGAAGATGGGAATGTCGTCAACACCAAGTCTTCGGTACAGGTCCCAAATAATCCCTCCTCCAATGTCTCACTCCCCATGTGGAGTCTGGATCCAAATGTCCTCAAGTCCCAAAGTCACCAATCTCTCTCTCTCTCTCTCGTAGTCTGCAGGTACTGAGAAGTTAGGTAGCGAGAGGGTGAGGGAGAGATGGTGGACTTAGAAGAGGAAGAAGAAGAACTCTCTCTCTCTCTATATATATATATATCGTCAAATAGAACTGCCCGGTAAACCGTAGGCAGAGAGGGAGAAGAGGACAACAAACGAGGGGCTGTGACAAACTGTTTCGTCGGGGTTTCACCGATATCTATCGATCTATCTATCTATCTCTGTCCCCTGTGAAGGTGGCGCCTTGTTGCAGGTACATCGAAGACGAAGCTGGAGCTATGGCGTCACAGGTAAGTCTCCCTGGCCTCCGCCAACCATCTCTCTCTCTCTCCGACGCTACCCTAGCTCCTAATAGCGCCCAGCACTGAAGACTACTGCTAACGCTACTACTACTACTGCAGCGCTCCTCCAGAGTGCTGCTGCCAAATCCTGAAACTGCCTCCTGCCTCCTGCATGGGAAGTGCCTGGGAAGTTCCTATGAACTACCTCGTGGCTACCTGCAGCCTGCAGGGCGGGCCAGTCTTACATAGTGCTGGCCCGTCCAGGCTGCTGTTGCCAATGCCAAAACGTGCGAGACCCTGGCGTTGAAGTTCAAACAAAGGTTGTCTTGAAAACAGGCCCAAATGGCCTGTGCTAAAACCCTGGTCTGGTGCCTAAGTTTCAGGGCAGGTCGATCTTATGAGGGCCTGAAAATGGCCATCCGTTTCAGGCTGAAACGACACAGGGCCTGTAGGCCCTTGTTTTCAGGTTTTTAGGCTGAAACGACACAGGGCCTGTAGGCCCTTGTTTTCAGGTTTTTAGGCTGAAACGACACAGGGCCTGTAGGCCCTTGTTTTCAGGCTTTTAGGCTGAGAACGCTGGTCGGGCCCTGCAGGCCCGTGTGGCTCCGCAGTATGCCACAAGGGCACTGGGACATTGGGGCAGTGGGACTGAGGGACAGTGGGACAATGGGACAGTGGGACAGTAGGATAGAGGGAAAATAGGACAGAACTGCAGACAGTGGGGCAGCAGTGCATACGAAGGCGCTGTCATCAGTCGGCCAATGGGAGAATAAGGGAGAATTTCCGCCGAGAAATGAAGACAGATATATCAACAATGAGAGGGCGGAAGTATGAGAGATTCAGAGCAAAATACACAACTGGCATAGTGACGCTCCTGGTCTCCACGCATCTGGCCGATGAACTCTCTCTGTGCGGACCCTCTCAAAACCCGTCAGGATGTCCGAATGGTAGCCACAGTTAAAAGATACAACCGCAAGAATCCACCGAGCGGAAGGAATGGCGATAAACATGATCTGCTTTCTAAACTGGATTGTGAAAAAAAAAAAAAAAAAAAAAAAAAAACCCTAACAGACATCGTGTTGATGGCAGTCTCCTGCCGCACGCATACCTGCAATCGATACATTTTGTTGTCCGGCCGATAAGGAAATGAATGCATAGGAACTCCCATCGTTTGCTTTCCCATCTGACAAAAGAAGAAAGAATGGGAAGGTGTACACAACAGCAACAACAAGCGACACGACAGAAAACAAAAAAAAAAAACGACCAAGCAGAAAGTCAATTAATTCCAAAGATGCCGCGTGGTTGAAAGGTACACAAACCTGAACTGCCAATGAACAGATCAGGAGTTCAAATCCTGATGTAATCCGATTGTACAATAAGGTTAAGAGGATAGTGAGTTAGTAACCCTCTACACACAAAACAATGCCACGTCAATCATCAATGTATTGCAATCACCTCAACCCCCTCCACATCTCTGTCTTTCATGCCATCCCTGTTATTTCTTCCT